CGAAGAGACCTAGGACCAATCTCCAGTAACAACTGGGTAAAGATTAAATGAGATAATACATCTGAGGAGCTTGTGAAAGCATTAATACTAAAAAATGCTAAGCAATATAATTTTAAAGACTATTTAAATTATTAAATAAAAGATATATTGAAATAAACTCTATATTTTAATAACTATTACCTCCAATTGGCAGATATGAATTACTTTTAGCTTCTCCTTTTCTCTATTTTGAAGTTTTGGCAACATATATGTATTAGATCATTATTGAAAAAATGTATTTAAAGCACTCAAAATTCCCTTCGTCTTCAATGTGGAAGAAACTGCTGCTAAGAATAAATTGAAATTTGCCTTTTCTTAGAAAGATACTTAAGCTTTAATATCAAAAGCCTAGTAGTTCCTGCTCATTTGTTCATTTTTCTGTTCACTCACTTATTCATTTATTCAATTGTGGGTAAAATTGCAGTATTTCCAGAATCTCTCACCTGTCCTTAGTGCATCTCCATATCAATAGGTTTTCCCAAGGGTTGGATAGAAGTGGTCCGTCTCCATATCAATAAGTGATTAGAAGGGGGCATATTTGGACCAGAAATTTGGAATTTTTCTACACTCAAATATTCAGGAAAACAATAGCAAAATAATCACAGAGGGCATGTCTAGACCAGAGAAGTATGGTAGGGCCTTGTTTGTAGCAGGGTCGCGAGAGACATGGGCGAGCAGAAGTGAACAACTCCTTGTAAGCAATTAACAGCCTTCTCCCAATTTATTTCTTCCTTTGACTTATTTTGGCATCAAAGATTATTTGCCCTGGGCTGGGAACATATTTTCCCTCCAGAGTTACAGCACTCAACACATTCATTCAATCAAAACATACAAAGAATGCATAAGCCATAGTCTGTGCCTTTAAGAAGCTTGCATTGTATTGGAAAAAGAGACTGTGACCACCAATTAATATACCAATTTCAGGAACAATTATAGAAGCTCTATGAAAAAAACAGTTTATAATTTAACCTTTTACTTCAAATGAGATCACTATAATGCCATTCATCTGAAATTGTGATTCCTAGGAGAAAATAACTTGCTATTACTAAAAAAAATTGAAGAAAAAAAATCATGTAATTGTAAAGGAGGGCAGGGGGCATCAAGAGTCAGGAAAGAGGACTAATAACATTTAACCTAACTGCCTGTGTGCTTTGTTCTCAGCATGGGCCATCCAGTTTTGAATAAACAACCCGAGGCTAAGCTTAGAAATGCACCTGCTTTAAGTTAGATAACTAGAGGTGGGCAACAGCCTGGGGGCGTGATCCGTGATAAGTCACATAGACATGCTTGGGTAAGCAAGAGATAACAATTGAAGCAGTCAAGCAGCTGGAGTGTTTCCTGAAAGATTACAATATAGAATGTGTTTAAAAATTATTGGTTGTAGAAATGCGCAGGCTTCGGTGTGACGCTGTGAAAATCCTATATAAGCAATACCTAAAGTTGCCTGGGGGTCGGCAGCTGGGACTCGGCCTGCGTGTCAAGGGAGGTGCTGTCGACCCCAGCTTGCTGGCTGAATAAAGACTTTGCCTGTATTTACATCTCTATGCCTGTGTAGTTTGTTCTCTGGAGAAGCTTCGGAAGCCAGGACCCTAACAGTAATGATAATGGCATTTTGAAGGATGTTTGCATTTAGAATGAGTTAGGCAAAGAAAATGTCATGAAAATGGATAATTTGCTTCACATATATGAAATCATCATAAAAACTCACAGGATGTAAGTCAGTTGTATTTCTGTTGTTGCACTGAATTTATAATTTGAAGAAAAATAGGTTTTACTTACTGTCGTTAGCATTATTCTACATGAGTAGTAACCACTGAACCTGACATTTAAATAAAAATATCCTCAAGAGAATGTCTGAAGTTTTATGGTCAAATAGAATTGAAACCAGTTTTCCTCTCTGTTTATCTGAAAATGTCATATGACTCTGTCTCTGGATTCATTTCCTATGCGCCTGGTAACATCAGGGCCGCCTCAGGGAGAGGCCCAGGGTCCCCCGTCCAGCCAGCATGACCACGTTCAACTTAAGCGAAATGATAGTTACTGGGCACCACACCTTCGATGCAGGGCAGTATCCTAGGAGGATACACAAATTCAGGAAAATGACATGAAAACGCATTTCATGTTGCTTCCCCTTTCTCCAACCCCCCCACCTCCTGCCCCTCAGTGTATAGGAGTATTGGTACTCTATTTTTGTGCGTGAAAAAAAATGCTTGCAAAGTTAAGTAGCCCCATCTATGATCTGCCAGTGTGAGTGCTTCTCTACATTCACATCTAACACTAAAAACACATTTTAAATATATATGATCATATGATTTATTTTAGATACTTTATGTATGCTCTGGTTTATATTTTAGAGGTTTTTTTTTCTCCTCCTATCTTCCTAATTTGTTCATTGTTCTACTTTCTCATCTCCGGGTAATCATTATTGACTACCTGCTGGATATTCTTCCTTTTTCTGTGCCAGTATTGTAATATATTACTTAATATGTCTTCCTGTCCATTCCCTGATGATTGATCTTTCCCAATTTTCCCTTTATAGGTTATGAGGAAGTTGCCAGTTTCCTTTAGACTTTCAAATTTATTGCTTATTGTTTATGGCTACATATATAAACTTATTCCTAATATCTGATAATTTTGCTTTCTCCATTTTTCCTTTTGGAAAACCCCTTTGGCTATTGGATTCTGTAAGTCCAGGAAGAGGAAATCCCGGTGCCAAATACCTCTAAAAACCAAAATCAGTCAAAGGGAGAAATAAAGTTTAAAATCCGTTTATTGCTTACAAACTGCAGTCTGGGGCCGTTTTCCGCTCTTCCTGCTCCAACAGCAGCAAAACCGGCCTCCCCTCACCTCTCTGGTACAGATAAGCCCTCTGTTGCCCAGAGGCTTATCTGTGGAGATGAACTTCTCCACCCCTGAGGAAAGATGAGAATGCACTAAAGCCATACTTCTTTCCACCTCTCAACACCTATTGATATGCAGATGTACCAAAGCCAGGTGAGATATTCTGGAAATGTTACAATTTTACCCACAGTTCTTTTCAATGAAACCAGTCTTCAAATTGAATTTCCTCTTCAAAACTTATTTATTGATTTAAGCTTTTAAAATAGTCAATTGTCTCAATTTCTTTTATGATTTTTATTAATGTAAAGTCAGTTACTAAGTTTGGTTACTATATTCTTTCTTCTGTGGTAATGAAAGAGTTAAAGTCATAAGTCTTTCCTTAATAGCTGTTTGTAAAAGGAAATGTTTTCCTTTGCAGTACATTTTTAAAGATTTGTAAGTTCATTTGTTTTGTTTTCTTTGATAAAAATATTCCTAGGAATATGTTTTTTTCCCAAGTACTTAAGATTATTTGGTTTATACTATTATTACTCTTTCTAATTTTATTGTATTCTGATCAGAGAGCGAAAGATCTATTAGTTTCTAAAAATTTTATATTGTAGGATCTGAAAAATCAAAAGTTAGCATAAGTACAGCCATCTTAAAGGGTTAAACACCACCCTCTAGCCTAGGAGAGAGAAAATTGTTAGAATCTTGAAAAACAAATTAGTCAGCCAGTGTTAAATGTAGTGACCTTCAGTTAGCTAACCTCAAATCAGTTAATCATGAACACCAGGTGGTGGGCAGCTGCGGCCTTCAGACAGCTAACCTTGGTCTGATAGTCATGCATACCAAGCTTATCTTGCTGAAACACTGTGTAAGAAAATACTGTCTTTTTGAAAATGCTATGCTATAAAAACCTCTGGCTTTAGCTGCTCAGGGTCCTCGTTGAGACCCACTGCATCGGGCTAACTTGGACCCCAGCTAGCTGGTTCCTGAATAAATTCCTCTTGCTTATTGCATCAAGAGACGCCTTTCGTGAGTGATTTGGGGTGGCATCCTCCTCTGGGAAAATCCAACAATATTTGGTATGTTTTTAAAAATAAATTACCAAGTCTTTGTTCCAAAGATACTCTATCTTAAGAATTCAGCCATATAAAATGTGTATTTATTTATATTAAATAAGTATATTAATTTAAGCATTGGATCATATATTGCATATTGATCACATTTTTGCTAGCTCTTCTATAATAACAAAAGTAGTGTTTTAAAATCTCTGAGAATTTATTTCAAATAAAATTCTCCTTGAATCTCTAGTAATTTTTGCTTTATATATATATATATACCTCATATTATTTGATGCATATAGATCTATGGCTTTCATATTTAATTCATGAATTATGTATTTGGTCATTAAATAGCATACTTGACTTAATATTTATTTGGTGTTTTTCTTGTAGTATTTTAAGTTTTACTTGTATGCCTTTCTTCTTGTTCTAGTTACTAGCCCTTAGACACAGAATTAATCTTCTGTTATGAAATAAGACTCTAACCCTAATACTTCAACCAAAGTGCTCTAATTATTCACTGCTTCTGAGTTACAATAATAAATGTATTATTATAAAATTGCCAATCTCACTCTCCAATCTGGGTTTTTGTAATACTTTTTTCCTTCACCAAATCTCTCCATAACCCTAGATTTTAATGTATTTAGTAAAATTTCTTGTAGACTATTATAGATTTTCTCTTGCAATAAATCTACTTTTATTGCAAAAATGATTTAACACTTCTATTACTATCATTTTTATTATAGTCATTTCATCATCAGCTATTACTTTTGCTTGCCTCTAAATTTCCCCTTATTTTGAGGGCCAATTAATTTCTTGTGTATCTGGAAATTTTCTTGTGTATTTTTCTCAGATGGAGTGTATAATGATTTTTTATTTTGCTAGAATGGATGAATTACCTTTTCTGAAGTCAGGGTGGGTGAATGGCAATTATTTTTCTCCCTATTTCTCAGTACTAGAGTGTCTCTAATTAATCCTATAATTATTTCCTTGTTCACATCTGTTCTTTTTCCTCTTTATGGACTCTTATTATTTACATATTAGATCACTTAACTTCATTATCTGAGTCCACCATGCTCTTCATATCTCTTTAATTTTGAGTAATTTCTTCTGTATGTTCTTCCAGAGCATCCAATTGGGCCTGTATCTGGATGATACGGTATGGCTTTAGGTTCCTTTCACTCAGCAAATCAGGAGAATGAAGAAAATTTGAAAATGTAAATTGTAGGCAGAAACTTAGTCTCACAGCGCCTTTATTCCATTTGTGTGGTCCACAAGATGTATGCTCTCTAAAGTTGCCTTTAATTGTTAGGACAACAGCTGAATCAAAGTAATTGTGCTAATTACACTCTTCTTCCATCTGGTGCTTCATTAGTAATATAGTGTGCTGTCAATCTGCACTGAGTCAGCCAACTTCTCACATATAATTCTGTTTTTGTCAGTGCACTCAGCGTAATAAACAGACTCATAGTATATATATCCACAGTACATCTTACCATTTAAGTCATTTGTGTTTCTTATAAACCTGAAAGAGAAAACAAAGAATTACACTTGGTGAGTCAAACATGTGCAACACATTTGAAAGGAAAGGAGCGACACACAGCAGCAATTCACCGTAGAGTTCCGCTTTATTAGGGAAAGGTGCTTGGGTCATATAGGAAGGGGCATGAATTGATTGAGGTGTCACTTCTACGGGGCTGGTGGCTGTTGGCTAGGTGCTGGGATTGGGAGGGGAGCGAGAGGTGATTGGGCTTCAGGTGGTGCCGGTGGGAACCGAGGACCCCGAAGAGAAGCCGGAAGTTTGCCATCTTACTGGTGGGGGCCCTTCAACATTCACAGACAAAAATTGCTTTTTCAACATATTATTGCTTCTAGGGTCTGCATTGTCTAAAATAAATTTTAATTATTATTCAGAATATCATTTTTGAATCCCAGCACATGATTTTACGTACATGGATAGAGCCCTGTGAATTTGTTACCTTCTAAACTTTTTTTAGATAAAAGCATTATTCATAGAAATTCTCCCTTATTTGGCTACTAGAAGTTCATTAATGACTTGCCAAGATAATGAGTAGACATTTGCCGTAACTTTCTGCATTATTAAATACATTAAAGAAGGCTGCTGGGAAAGAGCTCTGTAAGGACTCAACTTTAAATGAAGCTAGTTTTAATGGTAACCTTCAATGCTCCTGAGGAGAACACCTTTACTCAAACCAACCATAAAAATTCAACAAGAATAACAGCTTACCAGTCAGAGGAGACAATTACATCATCCAAAGCGTGGTAGTCTTTTCTATATTTACTGGGAGATAATCCCAACCAATAGCTATTTAGTTCCTGGGATTTTATGAATTCCTACAGAAATAAAGATAGTTTGTTTAAATAATTGTCTCCCCGTTCTGTACATTACCTCACAATATAGTTTCTTACAAATTAGTATTTTAAGGTAACACTTGTGACATAATACCACTACTTTTAAATGCCATTAAAAGAAACTGAGACACAGTGCTCTCTACTGTAAGATTTCCTCTAACGTTCATACATTAGTTACTGTTGCAATCCATGCAACACCTTGACTCAGGGTCCACGAAGGCCACAAACTTTAGGATCCACATATTGAGCAGTGACCATTCAGCCTGGGGCCAAGAGAGGTAGCTCATCACTATTAACACAGTGAATAGAAGTGGAAAAAGTAGGAGAAAAATGTAGCAAAATCAGATGGAGTGGTTATAGAACAGAATTTAGAACTGATGTAGAACTTTATAGCCAGCTTAACAGTTTTTCCTCATATTCCAGAGATTTTTTTGAGTGAAAAACTATGCATAGATCATTTGAAAGTGACCAGATGAAGAAGAGACTATGGATTGATTCCCCCTCTTCTATAAAAGGGGTCAAAGATTCTTAAGGGAGCTGAGACTTCTGGGAAAATGAAATTTTTGTTTAAAAGTAAATATGTAATTACTGTCTGGAAACCAGAAATGCTAAGTCTTAAGCAAAATATGGAGAAACTATTTATATACTAGGAAAAAGAAAATAAATAAATAAATACATAAATACATGAATAAATCTTCCAGGGAACTCACCTTTCCTGGGACCCAAGAACTTAGTGCAATATATCTGCTTGGCCTTGCCTCTTATTTCCACTTTTTTCAAATACATATTTTATCCAAACTATCTTCTTATTTTAGTATATATTGACTTGTTATTTTAATTTAAAAAAATACAAAATGGTGCAATCTCCTTCTATGTAGATTTTATGAAATTGGTAACCATCAGGAATAATTTCCAGATCTGTTTTTAGATAAATGCTCAGAAATTGCATTTTGAGAGTAGATGCTAAACTTCTGGTTTGGAAATGCTCACAGACCTAAAGATTCTGGGTGCCCCATATCTACCCATCTGCCTAGCCTCTGAGATTCCACTGATGCTAAGGTCTTAAGGTAAGGCTGTACCTTGGCAGTGACACCCTGAGATGAATGCACTATATCTCAGTCACTTCATAATGCAACTAAAATGAGACAGAATCACATATGGATTAGCATAAATCCTCCCCGATATGCCTCACTCCTCTCTGTTACGTGATGGGAAAAGGGACTGTCTTTCTGACAGGCAGAGATCCGTGGGGCCTTACCAACACACTTTCACTTTTAATCTTCAACAGGCTGGCATTTTTAGCAGAACATATCCTGTTACTCGCTTGCCAGGTTTTAGGATCCTTAGGTAAAAATAGATAACAGCTGTCCTCAAGCCACAGCCACTCTTTGGGGCAAGGTTTACATTTGTGCTCTGGAAGAAGAAGGTTGTTTCGTTTGGTTTGTGTTGATAAGCTTCAGTATTCTTATTGTTCCCATTGTTAAATTAACCAAATTTACTTGTCTTCTTTTTAGAACAGAAGTGAAGAAAATGAATCCTGTGTTACATATATACTACCACAATATGTCCAAAATGTAATTTACATAACACGTTTCAAATTAAACACTTGGATTCCAGCATACTTTCCTGCCTCAAGAGCCCTGAATCATGATTAATTGATTTATTTCTCTCCCTTTGTCATTGTTTTTTATTACTACAAAGCCAATTACAAGAAACATTGTGTGGTGAGAACCAGACCCACAAACCTACATCAGCCCTACCCTCTCCAATCCAGCAGTTCCAGCTCTCTGACGTTTCAATAGCACGAAGAACATGTTTTAGTACTTTGAGCTACAGAAACTATTAGAGACATTAGAAAGACCAATTCCTCCCAATTCCAAGGATAGGACCTAACATTATTTCTTCTCTATTGACTCTCATAAAACATTGACTGAAAAAGAGTGAGGTCACCTATTCAGCTGCCTATAAAGAGGTTACCCACCCTTTCCTCCCTATCTTCTATTAACCTCAGTGACCAAAATAACTAGTAAATCTCAGATCAGAAAAACTTACACTGTCTAATGTTTATTAAGTAACTGTCATCCCCTGATAATCTGAGAGCCTATAGTTATTCTGCTTTTCTTCTAACAGCACAGAAATATTAATGAAATATCCCTATCAACCACATTTAATTCCTTCCTCAAATAATGGCTTCCTAGGGAAAGGTTGCTAGCTATTGATGAAATGATTCTCAGGTAATTTATAGGCTTAGTTCATGGTCTAATAAATAACTCAGAAGACAAATAGGGTTACCTGGTTCTTTGTTATATAGCTCATGACATAATTTGGTGGCTATTTTTTGCAGAGTGACAGAGAGGTCCCTGATCTTCTTGGAACTGTCCGTGTTATGCACCAGTTGTAAAGAAAGATCTCTCTGAAGTTCTTCTGTGAAATTCTGGAGTTCATTCAATCTTCCCATTTCTATCTTTGAAGTTACATAAACTCCAAAAAGAGAGAGATGATAGAATATTTTAATCCCTTAAGACAAGTGTCACCTCCTTTTTGCTGACCTAGCGTTAATAATAATAATGGTCTAGGGAAGAAGTCACTTCACAGGAGTGAGAGAAAGAGACTAATTACCAGGTAGTAAGTACCTAGTTATAAGTCCCCTTTGTGAGTATGTCACCAATAATCATTCCAAAGCCTCAATTCAAGGAGTAAACTTTCTTGTAAAACTCATGCAATTCTAGGTGTTTTCCTTTTCAATCAAAACAGGGGTAATACATACATATGCTTCCCAAGACTCCCAGTCCGATCAGCAGCAGGAGGCATAGAGCGGCCAGAGCCAAGGCCCTGTGACGCCAGGCATGGGGAGGAGCAGGAGGCGCTGCAGGAAGCAGAATCAGCAGAGTCCTGGATGTGGCATCCATCTTCATTTAAAGCTTTCATTCATTCATTTGCCTTTATTTCTCTCCTAACATGTTCCCAGGAACGGAACGTGTTTTGCTGGAAACTCAAGGACATTCTAAAATACCTTTTTAAAGAATAAGTCAAAAAATTCTGGCCACTGTTTTACACACAAACTGGGTCTCACAGGAGAGGCTGATTCAAGAAACAAAGAAGCAAATATATATATATATTTAAAAAAGAAAAGGTAAGGACACCAACCAATCTGAATACAACATACCTCATCTATACCAATCTGGGATACAGAGTAGCTGGCAGCTAACAAATGGGTCAATTTACATAATCCTTCCTAGAGCGGACAATTGTGAGGTGCCATAGAAAATGATTTCAGCCATCTATGTTTTCCCCAGAAAATCATGAGAGTGTGGCTGTGGGACATAAGTGATAGGCTGCCTCTTTGTAATGTTTCTGGGAGTCCTCCTGTCAGCCATATTTTAGGCCAGATCTACATTATTTCCTCCTTAGAATTTGTTCATCTTTTTAACAATGGACTTTTGTTGAATGTGTCTTTTTCACTGAATGGTAAAGCCTGAAACAGACCATTTCCCTCTTTAAAAAACAAAACAGGAATTTCTGAACTTTATATTATAAATTAATTATAATTAAATCACTACATGATTTGCATTATCATTTGTGTAGACAGATACTAGGTATTTCAGGAGAATGTAATTCAGGGGGTACCGTAATGGTCTTACTCTAACTCCGGGAGAGGGGATTCCCCGCCCAGAGCAAGTTGCCCATGAATTTGATGAAACAGAATCCAGGCAAGGGCAAGAAGTCTGGAAGTGAAGTACTTATTCTCATGGCTTTGCCTCTTCTTGCTGGCACGAGTTGGGAGCCCCTCTCACAGGGCTCCCAGCTCCCAGCTCCCTCTCCAGCCTCACTACTCTGCCCCCTCACACACCAGGAGGAATTCTGTGGGCACGTCCCTGGTGACCAGTGGGCACCTGACCAATTACAAACCAGGAATGGAGGGGAGGAGAAAATGGGTGTTTTCTCTCCATCCCTACCCTGGATGGCAATCCTGTGACTTGTCAGCCACTCTGCTCCCAGTGAAACATCCCATAGATGTGCAAACAGGATGCCTATTAAGGCCAGGCAGGAATCTTGGTCAGAAAGACCCATTTTCCCCACACTTACTATACTTCTCACCTTTGTCCTACATCTATCTCACTGTTGGTGATACAATATTATGAAATACAGAATTGAACATAAAATGTGAAATAACTTTTTCAACTTTGGATATTTAATATGAAAGTACACAGTCAAGATCTGACCTAAGGTTAGAAGCATAAATAGCTTCGAGTGCTCTCTTTCTTAAGAATTACTTTCTCATTTATTATCCAATTACTCACATGTCATCTCTGAATACTGTCTTCATGGTGGACACTATTCTAGGTGCTAACAATATAGAAGTGAACAAGACATATATGCACTCACATAATATAAATTTTAATTGTGTGAGAAAGGTATGAATATACATATACATATATATATATGTTTATATACACAGAGGGAGAGGGAAGGAGAGGGAGGAAGCGAGAGTGAGAGAGAGAGAAAGATCTCAACATGTGCTACGGTATGCACAGATTTGAAACAGTTATATTAGAAAAGGAGATAGCACAGACCTTATGGCAATGGGAATCAGCATGTAAAATCAGTGAGAAGAATATTACAGGCAGCAAGAACAGCTACTTCAAAAACCCTAAATGGATTTAATCAGAAGGGAAAAATAACTGAGTTGATTTTTTAGAAAGGTCACTATTACTGCATATGGAGAATGAATTGCAGGGCTCAGTGTTAGGAGCAGAGGAATGGCAAGAAGCCTGTTGCAGTATGCCATGTGAGAGAGAACAGTAGCTTGATTTACTGGTATTAGAGAATGTGATAACCCATGGACAGATCAAGAATACATTTTGAGGTTCGAATCTATAGTACATGAAATGTTTGTGAAAGAGTTTTGACTTGATGAAGTTAGTAGAAAACAAGATATACACATTCATAGGCAGGCTGGCATACTGATTTAAGAAAAAGCACAGCACATTCTCTATGGCTAGTGTTCCTGGGTCTGAATTCTGGTTTACTGCTTATCACAGAATGTGGAATCTTGGACATGTTATTTAACCGTGTCTTACCTTCTGTGTTGGTTAACAAAGAAAGCCACAAAGTAATTTAAAATCTATAATGCAAGTAGAATGGCACTGGCATATAGCAAACACTTTGTGATTGTACTTAAGTATGATTTATTTTGTATAATGAGATGAGCATGATTGAGGACTGGGAACAGTTTTAGAGTAAAAATAGGTATTTCTCTTTCTGCCATTTTTTTTTGAAATGACATTAGAACTCCATATGGAAATATGAAACAGGCACATGTATTTTCTAGTCTGGAGATTTAGGGAAAGGTCATAAGGAGATATTGGGAGTCACGGCATTTGAATCCAAATGACTGAATGAGGCAACTTAGCGAAGTCTATTCAGTGACACAAGAGCAGGGGACCCAGAGTCCTGGAGTGCTCCGTAATACAGAGTTTGATCCAGAACAAGGAGTCAAACAGGAAGACAGAGGGAGCGGCCACTGTGGCAGCAGAAACCCTGAGGATGTGTCCGTGAAAGTGTTCAGAGAAGAGAGACTTGAATTCTGTGAGGGCTTCAGGGAAGTAAAAAAATAAAGGAACAGAGATGTAACTACTAGGATGAAACAAGGAGGTCACTGGTGACCTTGACAAGAACAGTCTCCTTGGAACCATAAGGGGGACACCTAACAGAGACAGCTGAGAAGAGAACGCGAGGTGGAGAACTGGGAGTCTGTGACCAAAGGTAATACTTCCAACATACAAGCTGTGGAAGGAAACAAGAAATGGAAGAATAAATGGAGAGATTTATGTGGCCAAGCATGGATTGTGTTTTGTTAAAATAGGTGTAGCATAGCATGTTGGTGTCACAGGAGAGAAGGACACGTGGACTGAAATTCATAGCAGAATAAGGAGGTAAGAGTAATAAGTACTTTGTAAATACTATCTAGAAGCAAAGCAGAATATGAATGAGGATTTGGTAGGATGGAAATTTGGGTAGAAGAAAGAAACAGTGTAGGAAGAGATAGAAGGAAAGCTTGTCTGGTGAGCATAAACTGGGCTTCAAAATTTGTGTTTTTCACCAGCCATGTCCAGCTGTTCAGGTGAGGTACAGAGTGGGTGGATATTTAAGTTTAACCAGGAGAGGAGTTTTTAAAGAAAAAAGCAGTACATTGAATAGGGGTGGCCAAGATACTAAGAGGAGCTTATATATATATATTACAAAGTTATATTACATAATGTAGACTTTAAGCTGGATAATGAGAAAACTAAAAAAAACTGAGAAAGTGAACAAGACATGGATTCAAGATTTCAATTCAGTCAAAGAGTTCCTGAATTGGAAATTTAGAGTAAGTGGGCACAGGAGATGAGAAGTGGAAATGGCATTCTTATGGGAAGTTGTTGGTATATTTAATTCATGGCACTCAAATCCTTTTTTAATTTTTTTACACCATTAAAAAAGGAGAAATACAAACAAGGAAAATAAGAAAGAAAATACTGTAAAGTCCTTAAGCCCATCTTTCTTAAAAAGAAGTCTGTGGTAAAGGAAAACCCCGCAGAACTGAGCTGTTACCCTTTATAAAATTTACAATGCTGATGATAAATGGACACAAGATCTAACAATAAAAACTCTGTTCATAGCAAAGTTAGCATTTCAAAGAGTTTTATGTTTTGCAGGGAAAAATTACTTAAATAATATATGAGAATTCTTCTACTACTCCACTCTCTTAATTTCACTGTTTCTACCAACTTCTGTGTTCTCCACTGCTACTGTTTGTTATTTTTAACTTAAACACACTGATTTCAAGTGTGGTTTTGCTAGGGCAAATTACATACAAAGGGCCAGGTGCTTGGAGGTAAGAGCTGTATATAATAAGAGAAATCAGGGATTATGAGTAGGATGAAGTGAGGGTATGCTTTATTGAGTGTAAGCTGGAAGTCAACTTGGGGAGTCTACTTGTATCATACTTTAAATATGAACGGAAAAATACAAAACTTACCGGTACAATGTATTTTTGAATGTTATATCTTCTGATATTTCTTTACCATTTTTTCTCCTTCCTTTAGTCCTTGATATGTCGTTTCATTTAACTTAACCTCTTCTATATTTTAGTAAGCTGGGAAAGATCTCCAAAAGAAGTAAGAGAAATTTTAGGATAATACATGCTTGACTTGGTAGAAAATGAAATGAAATCCTTTGAAGGTCTCTCTGTCTCTCTTTTTCTCTCTGTCTCTGTCTCTCTCAGACATACACACAAATTAGCTTTTCTTTTTTTTTTGGTATTATATCTAGGCTCAACATACAGGGATTGTGATTTGTGTATGTATACGAGCATTTTATAGCCTCCAAATAAACATTATTTATTTCCTTTTCTAAATAATGAGTCAAAGATGGCAGCATGAGAGGAGAGACAGAGGCTTCCTCCTAAAACTGGATACAATTAGAAAATTTAATTGGCACAACTAATCCTGAGAGATCAACAGGAAAGAGGACTGAGTCAGACTGCGCACACCTGGAGAAAATAGCAGACCTCAGCAAACAGGGTAACTTACCAGAGCTGTGGCTCCGTGGGCCCCGGGCCCCTCCCCCACCCCAGCTCACTGGCAGGAGGAAGATAAATGGAGCAGGGAGGGAGTGGAAGGCTTGGGACTGCTGAATACCTAGCTCTGGAGATCTGCTCTGGGAGCACAAACCTACATTTCATGGTGCTTTCATAAGACTTGCATGACTACTGGGCTGGAAAGTTAATACAGGCAGAGTTCCTGGGGAGACTGGGATTCCGGCTGCTTGTGGAAAGCAGGGATCCATATCTGGCTGCTCTAGGACAAAAACTTATACCTGTGTGACCGGCCCACTGACTCAGGCAGTGCAGACAGGTACAGCAGCCAGGAGGCAGGGAACAGCTCTTTCCTACCCCCAGACACCTGTACTGCTCCCCTGTGACCCCCGACATTGCTTCAGGGGCTGACAGCTCCAGAATAGAGCTTCTGGACACTAGAGGGGGCCATATACAAACATGAAACGCCAAAGGAACCTTGTCCAGAGTAAAATTGTTAATACAACTCCCGAGAAAAATTTAAATGAGATGGACCTCATGACTCTTCCTGAAAGGGAGTTCAAAATAAAAATCATCAACATCCTAATGGAGGTACAGAAAGACATCCAAGAACTCAGGAATGAATTCAGGTCAGAGATCCAATAATTAAAGAACACGATGGAGGGTATTAAAAGCAGGTTGGATATGGTGGAGGAGACAATAAATGAAATAGT